ACGACTCCGAGCACTTTTCATTCCGAGCTTGTTTTTTGGTTGTTTAGCGGGCAGAGAGGAGACTTCGATGACTAGGCGCAAAAGAAGAAAAAAAAAATACAACACAACACACACAGGCGCACGCGCGCGCACACGTACACGCACACGTACGCGCTTACCGAGAGACAGAGAGAGAGAGAGAGAGAGAAGAGAAAAAAAGGAAGAAAAGTAGAGAGAGAGAGAGAGAGAGAGAGAGAGAGAGAGAGAGAGAGAGAATGGGTACCCACTCTTCTTCCACAGGATTCCGCATGCGATAAGGCTTACCGATGCGGTTGACGGCTTGGCTTGTTTTTGTCGTTGGAATTCGGATTTAGATGTTGACCCGCCACTCGGCTCTTCCTCGGCTTGCCTCCAATTTCCGCCCGTAAGAGCTCGGCGTTTCGTTACGGCAGAAATCTCGACTCGTAAGCCAACACAGCGCAGCGTTTACTTTGAAAGAGACCTCCTCGACTCTACGAGCCAATAATCGCAAGTCAATAATCACTGAGCCGACGATCTTATTATTCTTCTTCTTCTACTTCTTCTTGGAGATACGATCGCGCACAATGTATTGGCCTGAGACTCGTTAAATTAAAAGTGGAAACTCTATTATTAGCCGGGGGATCGATGTTAATTTAGCCAGTCAGAGGCTAATCGATGGATAATCGATGCGCGTTAAGAGAAAAGGCAATTGTTGAATTTCGCTTATTAATTGTACGTTTGGTAGGCAATTATAATGTAGCGTAACGTAGAGTCGCGTGCACTTTGCATGTTGACGAGGCGACGGGATTCGATGCAGCTCAATTTCGCAAAATTTGTGTACAAAGTGAATCATCAAAAACACATTTTACGATTCTACATTACGAGGGCGAGCGTGTATTATTTTCCTTAAAAGCGCATGGACAAAGTTCTCAGGTAAATGCCGGTCTATCGACATAATTTTCACAATCCATTAATCTTGTCGATCTCGTGGCAACAAAGTGAAATGTCCTCAGGAAGAGGAGAATGAATTTGTCTCTTTTGAGAGCTTTCATGGATCTCTCGTACCTAGGGTGTCCTTGTGTGGCTGGAGCTGACAACACATTTCTACCGTGTCAGTTATTTTGTAAACTACCTTCTGTGCTACGAATAATACCATGATTATTCAATTTTATTTCGCTTTCAATATCAACACGCTCTCTGGAATTTTCCATTAATTACGAAATATCGAATAACTAAATAATTTTCAATTGCAATTTTAATAGTAAGCATTTTGTTATTAATCATAATGATAATTTGTGATTGTATGTCAAAAATTCATTTATCCCAAGCATATCGATGTGTTTTCATTGCCTATCCAACAACACGCTCGCTTTATTAATTAAGTAATATGTTTCAATATCATTAACAATTAGATTGAACAATTGCGTGCTTATTCTATACGTATATATTTCAATTTCATCAATATACATTTTGCACACTCGATATGCATTTTGTTAATCTGTGGAATTCAAAGCAAATCTAATTATTTTATTTTATAACTAGGCTAGTGTCCCCCCCCCCCCACTTTTTTTTTACCCCGCCCCACTCCCTCATCGCTCGATAAAGTAAATTTATTCATTCTAAGTCTTATTGATGAATCAATTGATCGATTCATTAATTTATTGATTTATTTCTATGATAAAGAATATTTGTTAGATACGGTGGCAGTAGTTGTTTGATAAGCCACGTTAATTCGATGGTCGTTAGTCCCGTAAAATCGAGTCCCCACGTGCTTAACGCACTGAGCAAAAGCTTTTATTTATCTTCTAAAAACGATAAATTCGAATCACCCCCTTTAAAACGATACCTTCAACGTCTTACAAGATTCATCTACTCCCCGCTCCCACCGCCCTACCCGCCAAACCGCCCCTCCTTCCCCAAAATATCATTTCCTCTCACTTTTCACACATTCGCCCGTAAAAAAGCGTCGCATTCACACCAGGACGTCTCTATTTATCCGAAATATGGAAGGCTCTTCCTTTAGAATATCGAATTCCAGAAGGTGCGAGAGGATGATTAATAGCCTCCAGCGCGAACAATGTAATATCGAAGAAGTTGCGTGGGCGTCGCATCGGGCAGGTGGCAGCACTGATTTCTCACAAAAGAGGCGACTCGGCACCTTTATACTCGATCCTCACGATTTTTCAGCCACTGCCGCTCTCTTCTCATTCACTCCACGCGGCCCGACGAGTATGAATTAATAGATCAGTCTTATGTTACACCCACGGTATTTCTACGACTTGCCGCCGTCGTAATGCGTCTTTGTCTCTTTTGTGATAATTTTTTTAAGGGGATTCGCAGTTTCGTTGGTTTGGTGAATGAGCGGGCTGAACAGTTTACTCGAAAATATAAAATGTCCAATCGGTATTGTAAGCGTCCTCTTTGCTCTCCTGTCATTTCGAAGAAAAATATTGTTGCCTCCGGTGGGAAAGATTATTAGCTTATGCCACGAGATTCACTTTAATTCACTTGGTGAAACATTCATAAATTATACATTACACTCGACAACATTTTTTTTTCCTATTCTTGCTCTTATTCTTTGATGTACGCGTCGCCGGATTCGCCTTACCACATCGTGCATTCCCAATCGGTTTCTAATAATTTTTTTACAGCTTTTATCATCATGATTTTCTCATAATCTCCTCAACTCTCCATTAAGCCTGTATTACCAAGTCGCGTCGTCTCTTAAAAATTTGATATCTTTAAGCACTCGTGTATTTAATTATGCATGAAGCAAGCTGCCTGTTTCCAAGCTATTAACGCCGTCCCATTTACTCTAGAATAAAATATGTTTATACGATGATTATTTAGGGTAAGCGAAAATAATTCTCACCTTTAAAATAATGCCAATAAAGGGTAAATGAGTTGAAATAAAATTATACAGCCAATATTGGTGTGTGTGTGTGTGTGACGATGGAAATTATATTTAATAGATAAACTCTTTACAAATATGTACATACAACAAAGTCCACCGCAATGTACTCGATCGTTATTCGAAGATGGTGACGAAAAAAAATAGAGGACAGGGCACACGACTCGCATGACTCACTCTGCTCTATGCTCTATGGGACTATTTCATGCCGGAAATCGCAGTCGTTTATTTAACCACCGGCACATGCAGAGCATCACAGAGTTCCCTCCAAACACGAGGATTCCTCCTCGATTAACGAAACGCTAAATAAGTTTGCAAATCTTATCTTCTCGGCGCTCGGATGTTCTGCTGCCTGTGCGACTTTTTACTCAACGCCGTTGTCCCTTACTGTCAATTAACTCTCTTACACCCTATTTACATTTACAATTTTCGTGAACTTTTTTTTCATTCTGTTTTTACCTTTTGTTTTTTATTTCTTTAATTTTTAATGGGCTTACTAGTTACTCGGTATCGTTATCATTCGTTGAGAGAGTGTTAACGTAATATGGTCAGGAATCGTTGAGTTTTAACAGGCGGAGGAAATAGCTCGAGCGCTGAGAAAATAATAATTTTGACAAACAATAATCTGAAGACGCAGAGAAAAATTTTTACATTATAAAATAAACTTTTCCTAAATTCTTTGTAAATTATATATGTATATATATATATATATAATCGGCGTCGTTTTTATCGCACAGAATAATTTTTGTTTTTTTGTTTTTTTAATTTTTGTTGTTGTCGTTGTCGCTGTAATTGTCGTAGTCGTAGTCGTCGTAGTCGTCGTCGTCGTAGTCATCGTCGTCGTCGTCGTCATCGTCATCGTCGTCGTCGTCATCGTCATCGTTGTTGCTTTTCGTTATTACAGGCGAAGAAACAATTTATTACAATACGTATTACAATCCCATTCGATATCTTCAAACTGCATTTTGAGTTTTTCTTTCTTTCTTTTTTTTTGTTTTTTTTTTTTGTTTTTTTTTTTTTGTTCGTTCGTTCGTTTTTTCGTTTGTTTATCTAGCGTCTCGTATACTAAATAAATATACGGTAAAACATAATATTTAGTATGCGTTTAGTAAACTGCTCTAATATTATTTAATATAAATATTATTTCTTAGGGAATATCACAATAACAAACTTAGCAATAAAATTTGTCTTCCTTGATTATTTTATAAAATTTCTTTAATAAATTTCATTAAATAATATAACTTTTTAAACGTGCAAAATAAAGAATACCTTTGTCAAAGTACATATTGGCATCGATTTGTCTTTTTGCGCGCCCTGAAAAAACGCATTCGAGCGAAACTTTAATATCAGAATATTCGTTTTTATTACGCTTCCACGCTAAACGAATGTAATGCAGCAATAAATATCCAATATATGATCTTGAAAGTATCGATTGTAAAGTTATATGCTTGTCCATCAGACGGTATTGCGAGTCGATGCTCAAATACGTTTTTTCATGGCTGCAGGGAAGGTAAAAGTACCGATTACCACCTCCGTCCTACTTCACGTCGTAAACATACAGCAAAAATTGCAGACGAATGCCAAATATTGAAGTCGAAAGAACCGTTTGCTTACTTATCAATGTGATTACTTTGCATTTTACTATTAAATTTCAATTTATATCTCTCGATCCTTGTCCGCCGCAAACAACAGCCCGTGGCGTATTGGCGCGGTCAAGGATCAAGCGCACTTTTACGATTATACGTTTTACAACCGAAAAACGATGTATTCCCATATCGCTAATGCACTTAACGTTACACGAATGAGTCAATTCAGCTGTAATGTAACGCGCAATAATTGGCCTAGTTTTACCATACATGAAGGATTAAATACAAATGACGTTTTTCTTTTTTCAAGTTCATTTTGCTTATTCTGCAGGTAACTTCACGATGCAACGGCTCCGTTCGATCCTTTAATCACTACAAGTTCGAACGGGTCGACGTCATCAACACTTACGACGAGGATTAAATTCAAGTGCACGGGAACTGTTAGTCCAAGCTCAATTGTCAGTCCTTCGAACATCGTTCCCGATTCAAGGGTCAAACAAATTATAATGGAAAGACAGGCTAATTTAATAAGCGCGCAGTCTGACTTCCATCTCTGGATCCTGGCGGTGGTTAAGGTGGGGATCGACGCCACCGCCGCTTCCAGGAACACCCAAGTGCCCGTGGTGACCGTGATAGTGGTGATTGAGGTGGGGCGGCTGGACGCCACCGGTTCGATACGCCCTGTGCTTGTCCTCGATCTCCTGGACTCGGCGGTTGTAGCGCTCGATCTGATCGCGGAGCAGCGCGTCTTCCTCGGCCGCGCGCTCCTCGTCGTACTCGAGGCAGCCGACACCGTCGAGCCGCTCCAGGTCGATCCAGCCCCGCCATGTCACGCACACGCCGTTCATTATCAAGTGTGACTTCAGATGAACCTGCGAACATTATTATGACAATCGATTAGTGTTGCGCCATGCTATTGAGACGGCGAATTGCCTATTTTTAAATGGGGATAGCGACGGCGGCGGCGGCGGCGGTAGCGGCAGTCGCGGCAGTAGCGATAGTGTCAGCAGCGTCACGAGTATCGATTATACACATTCTCTTTCATTCCCTGCCTCCATGCTCGTTACTCGTATCGAAAATTAATCTATTACAGGACAATCGAGCTGACACTTATCGTAAATACAGATTTCTTGTAAACAAAATTTTCTGTCGACAAATCGTAACGACTTATTATTAGCTGCGCAGACGCGCGCGCGCGCGCATCTCGTATCTTATAATTCGCGAGATACATTTGAATTGTCATTAAACTTGTCATTGCTATGCTCGTCGAAAGAGATTATCGCTAAAGAAGAGCGTTGACTATGTGCCTGAAAAGAAATCTCAAGAATGGTCGGCCCAACAACAGTCAAAACGATAATAAACGAAATGAAGAATGATAAATAGATACATAATGCCGAGGTCACGTACCAATTAATAAACGCGATAACCCCCGATTACAACACTTTTCTTCGTAACGCTAATAACCGAGAAAGTTGGGTTGAAGGCGTTTTATACGGATGGCTGATTCCTGCGCGCGCATAATGAGCTCCCCGATCTCAAAAACACGTGCTTGGAATGCACGAGTTCAGCCCATGAGTGGTGGAGCAGCTACGTCGTTAATAGCCGGATTGATCATCGGGGACTCGGACAATGATGTCTTCCGTACTAATTGATCGAAGTGCAATAGGCAATGTATCCAGGCACAAGTCGTTCGCTTATGCACTCTCGTGTCATAGAATCTCGTGACACTGCCGTCGCAAATACCAGGAAACATTACGAGATGAAGACGATTTTAATAAATAATAATAATAATAATAATAAGACAGTAATTAAATAACTTGTATAGTTATTGTTACAACGACTAGATGTGGCGCTGATTTAATGTCTGGGAATCGCAGTTGCAGGGCGCGTTACCGCCTTTTTTAATCGAAACAAAATTTATGTACTTGAAATGTCGAATGAGACTGTGCAAATGGCCAGGTTTATAAATTAGTGAAAGTCGCGCCTCTTTAAAAGCATTAATAGTGAGCATATTACGCCAATTTGCTTTATTGACATGACCCGGGGCTAAATAGACGCGAGGACGTTAAGAGGCTCGTGGGGGTCTTGGTCTGTGGCAACAATTTAGGTTGCAAATCATGTAGAAATATTCGATTATTCCGACGTCGCCTCTCTTCGGCGTCCCGCAGCTCGATTATCAAGCAAAACAGTATCCAGCCGCGAAGCAGCGCCACTTCGTCTTTGATTCTCATAAAGCGTCCCTCGTTTTAACACCCCTGACAATGTACGTGCAATTATGGCTCGTCCGCCGAAAACCTTTGGAAAACCTAATTTACACTTTTTCATTTCTTTGCTCAGCTCCTAATATCCCGTGGCATTGTATTAAGCCCCAAACTTGGGGCTCTTTTCCTCCGCTATCGATAAAACTCGGTGGATCAATCGTACGATTGATGGAAAAAAAAAACAACAAAAAATAGAAAAAAGAAAAGAGGGTGAAGAGATGGGGGGGGCGGGGGGGCGGGGGGGGGGGAAGAAAAAAAAGAAGAGGAAAAAAGCTTTACTAAACTTTGTTTGCTTTACTAAAAGAAAACGAGAGTCTTAAATATCGCAATTAAGGTAATGATTTGCTACTGTATTTGCAGAAAAAACCTCTTTGTCCGAATAACAAAATACAAAGTTTGCCTTGAATAATGAATATTTCTGATTTGAAGAAAACTTGATGTAATACACCGACGACTATTGCCCTTAAATGTTAATTGATTTTTCTCTCTCACACACACACACACTCTCTCTCTCTCTCTCTCTCTCTCTCTCTCTCTCTCACGGTCTATAATATACTAGTTCACAAGAACTATTAGGCGCCGGCACAAGAACAACAAGAGGCGAGATTTCCGGTTCGAGACTCGGCGAGTCTTAGCGATTCCCGGTAGAATATTGCAAGCCATTCGAGCTCCCTAGAAACGTTGCTGAGCTCTGCTTAATTTGGTGGTGACTGGCCTTCGAAGAACGATAGTAAATTTATAACCTCGGCTTGGCTTCTTTCTTCCCTTCGTTTGTTATTTATAATTATTAGAACTTTTAAAAAGTGCGCTACAAGTTACGGTAAGTTATGCCCCTTGCGGTGAAAACACGCTGTATAGTTAGCTATCTCCCTCTCTCGCTCTCTCTCGCTCTCTCTCTCTCTGTCTCTCTCTCTCTCTCTCTCTCTCTCTCTCTCATTATCATCAATTACAGGTTTAATTGTGCGTCCAAATTCTCAAAATACGCAACAGTTTAGCAAATTAGGAATTAACGAAGGGCCGAGATCATTAGTGAATTAGGAGCATCGATCGAGCCCCACCAATAAACGCTACAGCCAGTAGTACAAGAGGGGCTGGTAACAGAGCGAGGGGGTGGGGGTAGGGGAGGTTTTATAGCTAAGAAAGATGATCCCCTTGCGTCGTCGGCTGCTGTACCCCTGCTGGGTTACGCAGCAACCTCGGTCGCGTATCAGAAAAATCGTCGGCTTATGGCAATCGACTCGACTCCGCGCCTTTCGGACTCGCCGCGACGCAAAGGATCGTCCCCGTCACGCCCCGAACAAAAAATTCGGGAGGCATAATGACCCATCGTTCCCTCGCACGCACGTCCAGGCACTTTTTAATGGCTAGACCGGCCTATTAATTCGACATTTGTGCGTGGCCTTCGCGGAATCAATTGTTCTCTCCCGTACAACATGTACCCGGCACTGGTTTCCCTCTCTCTCTCTCTCTCTCTCTCTATCTATCTCTCTCTCTCTATCTCTCTCTCTCTCTCTCTCTCTCTCTCTCTCTCTCTCTCTCTCTCTCTCTCTCTCTCTCTCTCTCTCTCTCACGCTCTCGACTCCCAATTCATCGTTATAAATTGCACTACTCGGGCACGTCCGAGCGCCGGGCTCGTATTATCATATCCGTCGTTTATAAAGCTGACGAGGCGCAAGGTCGTTTGTCCGATTATAAACTGTCACGATGGGGGTGGCGCTGGGAGGGAGAAGTACAGGGGAGGTTCTGGCCCGACGACTTTGCGATTTACGAATCTTAATCACTTTTTTCTTTATTCCTTTTTTTTGTTTATATTGGCTTTTAATCGGCCGACGAGAGACCGTCTCTCGTGACTCAATGAGAAGCGACGCAGCGACGTACGTCTGTTAACCTTTCAAAAAGGCCTGATTCTTTGTTGTTATCTTTATTTGACAATTCGAGAAGGGCTTGACGCAATTTCATCAGGGATGGGGCGAGGAGTTGGCTCTCTCGCAAGGCGGCACGCAGTAAAGTGAGACGTAATTGAATTATCGAGCGCGGAGCAGCGAGCGATTGTTAATTTTTCGGACAAGTATGAAAATCATGATTCGACAGGGGCATTGTAACGGTCGTTGTAGCGAGCTCGAGCTCCGCCGTTAATCTAAGTACGACGAGGCGCGTCGCAATAAAATAAAAGGAGCCCCGACATATGTTAGTTTTTGCGCGACCGAGCCGCAAAACGGGGCCGAGAACCGACGGCGATTCCTCCTTTTCACGAGTTTGCTTTTTTTTTTTCAGCTCGTTCATCGTCCTACTCGTCCTCGTTCTCGTACTCGTACTCGTAGCCATAGTCATAGTCATAGTCATAGTCATAGTCGTAGTCGTAATCGTAGTCGTAGTCGTAGTCGTAGTCGTAGTCGTAGTCGTAGTCACCGCAGTCATAGTCGTCGCCGCAGCACCTCGGCATGTAAATGAGCCACGGGCCGACCAAAGGGTTGCCCAGAAAATATCGCCGCTCAATTATAAGGCTGTAATAATGGGTCGGTCACGCCCATGCGCGTTTGTTTTTCACGGCCGTGAGAATGCGAGAAAGGGTTGCACGGGGGGCGCACCGGGCTTGGCTTATTTATTAAATCTTAACGATCGTGAAAAAGGAGCATTTTTGCGACGCGACCATTGTCAAGCGGGTGTGCTCGCCAAGGTGATTGATACGCTTGTTCCCCAGCCCAGCCGCGCTCGGTCATTTTGGCCTTTCGCGATGCGCGCATTATCATCGCGGTGGCACGGACGACGGTGGCACGGAACCCCGCCGATACCGTTGGTACAGCCACCGGTTGGACAATTTGCACTCATTTGCCTATGCCAGACGCGACTCGAGACCCAAGTAAGCTGCTGCTGTTGCTGCTGTTGCTGTTGTTGCTGCTGTTGCTGCTGTTGCTGCTGCTACTGTTGCTGCTGCTGCTGTTGCTGCCGCAATCGCCGCCGCCGACTAATCGCGTCCTCTTCTTAGCGTGCCAGATTCGTCATTATGCCAACATAAATATCGTCCGACCTCGATTTTGCCCGCCGTTCTCGGTTCTCTCCTCGGCTCTATTATCGTCGAATGCACGATACGCTGCGACACGATCGTGTCCACGACGATCCAATAACAATGCGCGATAAAACAAAAGGATCGTATTTTGCGATTGCGTGTGCAGCACCGGGGCACGCGTAATTTGTAAAAGGGATCGCAGTCGCTCGCTGGGCCGCGCCACCCGAAATCACGTTGGGGCGTTAATGAGTGCGGCAAACGAGGCTTGCGCGTCCGCTCACACGGACCTCGAGCATCCGACCAGAGATGCTATTATGCAAACTGAAAGGCACTCGAGGCCAAATTTCAAAGCGACAAGGCGCAAATGATTTCTCGCCGCGCTCGTGTCGAGATACTTGCCTGAGCGCGCAATTCGTTCCGTTTAAGGACCACGGCGGTATACCTACACACTCGAGCGCGGCATTTTTCGATTTTACGAGCTGCTACCTACTGCGGGCTATGATTTTTTGTTGCTCCTCCACGGACCCTTGGGACGTCTAAATACGGGGCTCGAGCAAGACGCAGGTGAAAGACAACGCGGAGATTCCGAGACTCCGAGACTCCG